TACCTAAGAATGAAAGATCACTACAGGACTGGGGTTTATTTTTAACTGTCTGACAGCAACTCTCATAGACAACCAAGCATTTATGTCTCAGCTACAAATACTAAACAATCATATACAGTGGTACTATAGTTCTCATTACAGAAACATCAGCATCGGTGCAAGAAAGTATCAAAGTCCACAAAGGAACTGCAAAAATAGGCGGAAATACTCAAGCATGGTCCGTCAGTCTGCTCTCTCCCCTCCCTTCCAAAAATGTTAAACACTTGTATTAACTTCAAGTTAAAAGAAAAAATCTAAGTTTTTTAGCAGATTCTTCTTTTCACCCTGGAGAATCTAGTGCCTGGAGTACTGTAATGCCACTTGTTCTGCACTCCTCCAAACAATTATTGCAGAAACATTTAACTGGCAGAACTGACTGGGTTCATACAGCTCATGACACAGGAAAAGATACGTACATCCTCACACACCATCCTACGGCATCCCAGACAATCTCTTAGGTGCACAGAGCACAACAACCCACCTCCTTCTACAAGTTGTCTGGCCATGAACAAAGCAGTGGATCCAGTAGCACAGTTGTTGTTAACATTGATGATGGGAATGCCAGTTAGACCTAGACCATGGTAGATTGCCCTCTGCCCAGAGGTTGAGTCACCTTCAGATAGAAATACAACATTAAAATAAGGTACAAACTCACAAAAATTTTGCTTTTTTTCGTTTGCTGCACATACACTGCCATGTGCAGTGCTATTGGTGCACTGCTACCAATTAAACTGTAAACCTGAACTTCTGAGCAGTCACTTTGAGTAGGGCTCTCAGGTATTCAAATTAAAGAACCTCAGAAACAAGATGAAACTCTTCAGATTTTAAAGCCAGAAGTTTGTCCTGTTTCTGTTTCACAGGCTGGGAGTAAAAGGGACATAACTGGACTGGACAGAAGGGTCTTAGAGGTGTGGCTTGGGAGCTGCTCTAGGTATCACAGCAGACTGACCCTACTTCACTTGCCACAACACAGTCATTAATAGAGAACCAGAAGGAAAGTAAATGGAAAAATCTTTTTGGAACAGAAATAGATTTCCCCTCAATAGAAAGCTTATTGATGCCATTGCTCATACTTGATACACACATAAGTCTACAATTGTCATAGAAGTCACATTCCAATAAAACAATAATACTCACCATAAACATAACCCACACATGCCTGCTTCACTGCTGAATAAGGAATCCCAGCATCAGCTAAAGCTGCCTGGCCTAAAAAAAACAGTTTAAAAGTTGGAAAAAAAGTTTAAAACTGAAGGTAAAATAAAAAAAATAAAAACCAGCTTTTACAACCACAACAAGTGAACCTAGAGTAGTATGTATGAGTCTTGCATTCACAAATGAGAGTTGTAGAAATTCCTTATTATAATGTGCAATTAATATAGTCTTGTATCTCATAAGGAAAATTTCACAGTATTTTGAGTTCTAAACAAGCTTCTTTATCTCAAAATTTCAGTCAATCAATTTCATGCATTTCATTCTGTGCTCATGAACTAAGGTTGTTCATCCCAATGAGAGTAGGTTTTGAATAATATAGGTAAGTGCTCAATTATTTAAGTGCACAATCCAATTTAAAGCTATCCTCCTGACTTCAGCCTGGAAGAGCTGACCTGGACAGGTCAGTTATGGATTTGGTAAAAGTGCTCTGATTTTAAATCTGTTTTTTAGATCAGCTTTTCCTTTATATGTATAATAAAATATTGGCTTTAAGACCTAAACTAAGCATCAGGAATCAAACAAAATGCTTTATTACTAAATTACCTGCTTCCTTAGCCATGTCAGGATAATCAGCACTCTTCTCACTAGGCTTTGAAAACTGTCAAGAAAAAAGTAAGGAAAACAAGGTGAGCGTAAATAACAGTGAGATTTAATTCATATTTTGCTCAAATTGGTATATTTAAAAGCTTTATATTTGATTTAGAAATAAGTTTTAAATAATGCAAAATATGTAATTTCATTAACCCAAAAGTGTATGTACAAAATCTTTACAATTCCCAAGTACTGCTGCCAGACCCTGTAATGGCTAAAAGGAGAAAATAGTGCAACTTTATGGGAGCTGAGGGCCATTTCTGGTCACTGTTAAAGAAGATACATGGCTATGGAGATGGACAATAATCCTGTCTAAAGCCTTTGGGTGGGACATAGAATAATTATAATCTTCACCAATTCATCACAATATTCACTGAAGCTTTGATACATATTTCCACTTCTTTCTTTTTTTTTTTTGTTATAATCCTATTTGTAACAAGAAAATATTTGTTCTTTGTAGAGAATTTATTATACCTTACTCCTCACTGATAGAGGTGGCATTTCTATTTTCTTTGTAGTGTGACTCATTAGAGACCACTACAAGTACATGTGGTTTGGATTTTTACATCACTAACAAAGTGTCACTGCTAAAAGAAATCCTCATGCTAACTACTTATAATCCTACAAATTTGATGTCCCCTGTAAGCATGTGAAAGTTATTTGCTGCTTCCTTCTGCTTATGTCCCTGACTCCAGTCATTTGTACCACTTGGCTGTACTTTCTGCAGTGCTTCCTTTCATTAATTTAGACAGAGACCCAACAGAGCAAAGGTCATAAGAAAAAACAGTTGGTGAGTTTATCATTGTAGAAGTCTGTAAGAGTGATTGATACTGCTTGGGCTAACAGAGAGGAGAAGAGAGTACTGACAATTCTTCAAGTCATGCTCAAGTGGTAACTGAGATCCACATCTGAAAATGCAGAGACTGGGGAGCTGACAGTTACACGGGAAACGTGGACTGTTGTTGTGAGAAGATATAACAAATTTTAGTAGTCATTATATCATTAGTGTTAATCAAAGACAAGCAATACAGACTTAAAAGATTTTATTGTAAAATACTTAAGATGCAATATGGTGTGTGACAAGTTTTACTTGTCTCTTCCATGAGGACATCACAAGTGAGCTCAATAACTTCTATTACTACATTCTGTGATCTAGTCCAATAACCACAATTAACAGAATTGTCTTTAACCTTTCAGTTCCTCCCCTATCACATCACATGCTGGAGAAAGACCCATGCAGCAACAAGACAAAAAGTTATTATTTAAAAGGTGGCCAGGGAGTTTCTGACTACTCTAGAAAATACCAAAGTTATCTTGAGATTTATCTGTCTAGACAAAAGTGGTTCTTTTACTTGTCCTCTTTGAGAAGCATAAAATTGCTTAGGCTGGAAAAGCCCTTGAAGATCGAGTCCAATTGCTACCCCAGCACTGCCAAACCCAGGCTGCCTGTTCCTGGGTTTGACAACCCTTTCAGTGAAGGAATTTTACTTAATCCTAACTCTAACCTTAAATCCGCCTTGTGGAAACTTGGGGCCAAGTCCTCTCGTCCCATCACTTGTTACTTGGGAGCAGAGCCCCACCTGGCTACCAGCTGCTCCCGGGAGGAGCTGAGCGGGGCGAGCCGCGCGCTCACAACCCCGGGCCGGGACCAGAACCGCCGAGCACACCCTGCAGGGCCCTGCCCGGGGACGGGCCCTGGGCCGGCGGCTGCGGGGCCACTGTGCCCGCCGCAGGGCTGCTGTATCGCCCTGTGGAGCACCGCCTTCCCCTTGTCCGGGTCCGCAGCCCCGGGCGGGGTGAGCTTTGCGCTTTGTGCGGGGCCGGGCTCTGCCCGCGCGCCCCGTGAGGGCTCCGCCGCGCCGGGAGGGCGCGGGCGGCTCCCGCGGCACCTCCGGCTCGGCGGACAGGGCGGCGCCGAGGCCCGGGCCGGGACACGGCGGTACCTTGGTCATGCCGACGCCCACCACGAACACCCGGCGCTGCATGGCGGCGATGTCGGCGGGACAAATCTTCCTTCCCCCGCTGCTGTCGCCGCGTCCCGCGGGCCCTCAGCGACGCCGGGCGCGGAGCGAGCGCCCGGGCCGTGCACCCGCCCCTTAAAGGCGCAGCGCCCCCCTTGCGGCACCGGCCCGGCGTCCCGGCCCATAGCGCGGCCACGGTCAGTCTTACAAACATCCCTGCTTATCCTCCTGAATTCCCCCTTCACGGCGATTAGCAGACGTTTTTCCAAAGTGGAGGTGCAGTGAAGCTCGCCGCCTCCCCGGAGAAGGGCGGCGAAGATGGTGAAGGGTGCGGAGTACAAGTCCTGCGAGGAGCAGCTGAGGGAGCCGGGGGTGCTCAGCCTGGAGAAAAGGAGGCTCGGGGGGCCCTTCCCGCTCTCCACAGCTCCTGACACGGGGTGCAGCCAGGTGAGGGTCCGGCTTTGCTCCCAGGGAACAAGGGACAGGGTGAGAGAAATGCCCTAAGGTCGCACCTGAGGAGGCTTAGGTTGGACAATGGAAGTTCTTCACAGAAAGGGTGATTAGATATTGGAATGGGCTGCTCAGGGAGGTGCTGGAGTCACCATCTCTGGAGGTGTTTAAGGAAAGACTCAGTACCACGGTCTAGGGGACAACGTGGTGGTCAGTCATAGGCTGGGCTCGATGGTCTCAGAGGTCTTTTCCAATTCAATTGATCCTGTGGTTCTGTAATTCTTTTCCTCCAGAGATGTCTTTGGGACAGATACTTGACGAGATCGTTCTCTTTTCCTGAAATGCTGCTTGTTACCTAGAGATGTATTTACAGTGAGAGCTGAACATCTGACCCTCCATCCACTCAACTTCCCCTTCCCTCACTTCGTCATCTTTGAGGATGCCCATGGCCGAGGGCAGAATGCAAATCACAGCTCCTGCGCAGCCGGTGCCAACTTCAGCCGAGCTTCTGGCGGCGCTGTTTGCGGCAGCACGTCGCTTCCCGCGGGCGGCGGGGCGGGCGCTGCCGGTTCCGGCGCGGCCATGCTGCGGCTGTGGCGGGCGGCGCTGCGCGGGGCGCGGGGCGCGGCGGGCGCGGCCGGGGCGCCGCGGGGCGCGGAGGTGCTGCTGGGCGCGGCCGGCGGCGGTGAGTGCCGGGGCTCGGAGCGCGGCTCCGCTCCTGCCGGCTCGGCCTGGCGTCAGCGGGGCCGTGTGTTCCGGAGCGGGGGTGGCAGCTCCGCCGAGTCCCGGGCGTGCATTGTTGTTTTGCTTTTAGTTATGCCTTGATACTTTTTTTTCAAGAACGCTGCTGAATGAATAGCTAGATACTCTTCTTTCCCCCTAAAGTTATGTGTGCATGCGACCTCAACGCAAGAAGTTCTGGTTTGCATAGCTTAGATTTTTCTAAAAGCATTATCGTGCAGTGATAAAGGTAGGACAGGACCTTGACATGCCTGTGCACATTTATCCACGAGAGCCACGAAGCAGTTTGAGGTTCGGTTCAGATTGCCAGGGATTTACTTTCTGTGTAACTGTTGCAGGGGTTTATAAACAGTTCTTGGTATTTTGTTAGTTACAAAGACATCAGGTAGTTACCAGCTGTACATTTCCTTTGCGGGTGCCCGCTGTTCTCTTGTGTCTGCGTTGCAGTGTGACACATCTTTGGTTCAGAGCTGGCCATAGGCAGAGGAAAAAACAGCGACCTTCCAGCAGGGCAGAAAGACCAAGCAAGGCAGGTGCAAGGTACAGCTGCAGCATCTTCCAATGTTAAGGCTTGGGAAGTGAGCAGAAGTCTAGACAATTAATAGTAGATTTTTTTTTTTTTCTCTCCAAAGCATACAGAAGCCATTGGATAATAATTTACAAATCACATGTGCAAAGGAGATGTAGTAGATGTTGTGGTTTTATTTTTCTGCTTGGACTTAGGAACTTTGAGTAGAGTCCTTTCTGCTGATGAGCTTATAGTGTTGAAATTAAATGGAGTTCACTTTCAAAATGGTTCTGGAACATGAACTGAATGTGACCTGTCTGTGCTGTTCTCATGCAAACAGCAATCCCAAGAAGATGGTTTCCTTTATTAAGGGATGTACTTGAACACAGGAAGACTGTACAATAAAAAAATAAATAACATTCAGGAGAAACCTAAGATGGATCATTTGGGCTTTGGTTTTTTGTTTGGGGTTTTTCCAATTTCTGCAGCAATTCTAAGATATATGTTCTTGGATGTCCTGAACATTTTCTAAAAGTCAGCTTATCCATGATCTTTTACAGGCCTGAATTTTACTGTTGTTCTGCATAACTGGGTTTTGTAGACATGGTGTGCCACCTCCAGTTTTAAAATAACTGATTGTTTTAGAATATACTTTATATGCATTTTGAGGAAGGACAAGATGTAGCATAGGCAGATATTATTCCCCGTTGTATTACTGTGTCAGAGAACTAAATGAAGTATAACTGAAATTGTCTCCTATTACTAAGGTATTGCTGAAATCCTAATGAACCGGCCCCACGCGAGAAATTCACTGGGAAAAGTATTTGTAGATGAAGTGAGTATGGGCCTGGCCTGTGAGTGTGTTTGGAACCATGATCAATAACTAACTGCAGTGAGAATAGTTGTGGGAAATCTAAAAAAACTTATCTCATGATGAAGGGCAGTGGGAGATGGCATTGGGGCAAGGCAGGTGAACCTGGAGAAAAACAGAATGTAACAGTTACTGCCTGAGATGTGGACAGATATATTTGGGTTATTTAAGTTAGCTAATTTAAGTTAACTTATTGAAGTTAACTCAAATGCAAGTTAATGTCCTTGCTTGTGTCATTACAACAAAAGCATACTCATTGTTACACCTTAGCAGGTGACCTGTTCAAGGATGACACATCCTATAGAAAGTCTGGCTCATGCCTGGACAGGAGGGGAAGTTTTAGGTACAGCAAAGGTTAATCTCTGAGTGGAAGGAAGAAAAGAGATGAGGAAATGTGTCGTTCTGAATTTGTCATGGAAAAACCTGCAGGTTCCACTTACATGATTTCCATGAATTTTCTGGCACCTGCAGGGAAATAAACTAAAACGCTTCATCACAGATTAGGAGCTTGCTATAATTTCAGTGTATATACACCTCCATATGCCTAAACTTTTACTGTTTTTTTGGGGTTTTTTTACTCTTTTCTGCACTCCCTCCCTCATAGCTGTTCAGTGTCCTGGAGCAGCTCCGCTTCGATGAGCAAGTGCGTGTGGTGGTGTTCAAGAGCCAGGTGAAAGGAGTGTTTTGTGCAGGTGAGTAGCAAAGGCTCTGCTAATTACTCTGAAAAGATGTGGTGGCTTTGAGGGTTGTATGATAAGCACATCATGCAGAAATGCAGTTGGCAATGAGTGCTAGAAGAAATAAATCTGTCAAAAGGGCACAGAGGGGCACCCTTGTTATTGCTGCAGCCCAGATGCCCACACTCCAAATTCCATGGACCTTACTTGACTAGAATGCTCTATTGCAAGACTTTTTAAATGGTCTGTCCTCTGAGAGGGACAGGAGGGAACATTTCAGATGTCTTTTCTTGGATTCTAACCTTTTCCTGCTTTATTTAGGAGCAGATTTAAAGGAACGTGCAAAGATGGATGATGCAGAAGTTGCAGAGTTTGTTAGAAGACTGAGAAATCTTATGGATGAAATAGGTAAAGGATTATATCAGTTGGAAAATTTATCCTAAGCCACTGTAGTGAAACATTTAGAAATGCTGTAGGAGGGGATAACCAGCAGGTTACCCACCCAGGAGTAGCTTTCCAAATGGCTTCAGCTTATGCCTGAAAGAAAGATCCAATTAGAATTAAATACCAACCATCCTGCTGCCCCTCCAAGGACAAGATGTACTTCTTATCCACAACAAAGCACATACACGTCTATGTAATAAATACCTGCTGCAAGAAAGCATTTCTTTATTCCACACTTCTGTGGAATCCTTGGGAGGCAAGTGCTGTGTTGCTTCTCCCACTTCCAGTACATGTCCAGAAACACTCAAAATATGGCAGAGACCTAAGAACACAGATTTGAATCTCTAAATGGATTTGCTAAATGAATTTGTGCAATGTCGGGGGGGAGGGGGGGGGGCTGTATCTACAACTCCCTCACCTCCCTTTTCTTTTTCTTTGCAGAATGAATATGAGTTTCTGCAAGTCATTTTCTTCCCTATTTATGAATTATTCTGCTCTCACTAGAAAAAAATACCAAAGTCAAAAATTGGTCTAAAATACCAATCAGAATTGCAATAATTTAAAAAAAAATGACAGGAGCAGTCGGAGGGGTGGTTACAGCAGAGAACTAGCTCACCTCAGAAGTTGGCATCCAGCTGCCTGAGTATTTAAAAAAGTATCAAGTAGCTCATCTCCAGATACATCAAGCTCCTAAGATATGAGGTACCCTAGTAAAACAGTGTTTACTGTTCCTGTTTTCCGGAGCCTTGGCTAACAAAAGCACCACAAAAACTGAGCATTGTGACAGGGCCTAGGGATGGTGTGTTGTCTTTGGCTGTTTAACTGCAACAGATGGATATTCATGTCATAAATTTGCAAGGAGAGGACCGATCCTGTTTTGCATTGCAGTACTTTGTTTGCAAGCTTCTTCGCATGGAAGAGGCATGTTTTGCATTCTTACAAAGAAAAGAGAAGTGCAAGAAGATCATTTTTACTCTTTCCAGACTGAAAAATCTGTGGCAAAAGAAAATGAGTCCTTGAGCAATTCTGAACTGAAAGCTTTAGAACATAAGGATTTAAATTCCAGGGCCATGTGAAACAGAACTTGTGGGACACAAGTGTGCAATCTGTGCTCTCTTCTGTAGCTGCCCTGCCCGTGCCCACGATCGCTGCAATCGATGGCTACGCCTTGGGCGGTGGATTAGAGCTGGCCCTGGCCTGTGACCTCCGAGTGGCAGGTTTGTGTTGCTCAGTGTAGCAATCTCCTGGTAACTGATGGCTGCATTTTAAAGAGAACTTATACACATGACAGTGGATTGTTAATGGAATCCAGAACCTTGAGAAAAATTTAAGAATAGGTTGTACAGAAATTGTGACACTTAGTTACTATTTGGAAAGCAGTTCCCATGCTTAAAAAGTAAAGCCTAAAGAGTTCCTTTAGAAAACCATTTATTAGTAAGATTGAATAGTTATTGTAATTTAATACTGGATCAGATATAATCTGGCTAAATCTAACCTTCCCAGCTTAAATCAGTTTGGGTTGGAAGACTTGTTTGTTGTGTTTCCATGCTTCCATCCATTATATTTTATCTATCAGAGACCCGAGGTTCTAGCTAAAATTTTCTAGTTTTTGAGTTTTCTAGCTAAAATTGCTACACTGGAGTAAGCAGACTTGAGACAGATATGGAGTAAGTACTGTAGTATTCAGACTTTCTGGCTACCTAGATAAATGGAGTTCCAGTTCAGTATTGACAGTTTCCAATTTTATTGATCAGTTCAATCTGGAAAATTTCTAGTTATACAAATCAAAATGTAGCTAACCCTACATTTATTTTTTTAATAGCTTCATCAGCTAAAATGGGCCTTATTGAGACCACACGAGGACTTCTGCCTGGAGCAGGTAACCTTCATTAAATTTTAACCTTCATTAAACCTTCATTAATATTCATTAAATCTCACTTTCTCAGTTGCATTGTAAATATTTTGCCATTAGAGTGTGTTCTTGAACACTTAAAGTGTTTTGAATGTAAATTAGAAGTAGCATCTTACAGTCACAAAAGAGATCTATGAATCAAGAGTTCTGTCTCAGACTTACTCTAAATGTAGTAAAGTCCTTTACACCTTTTCTTTTTTATCAAAATACTGAAGCCTTTCAGATGCCTTCAAAAATGCTAATATATTTAGCCAGTAATTATTAAAGAAACACATGATCTCTTTATTTTGTAAGCCTTCTGGTTTTATAAGGAGACAAAATACTTCTGGGGTATTTGTCAGAAATAGAAAATGGTGTTTTCCCTGTTGTCCTAAGGTGGAACCCAGCGCCTGCCCAGATGTGTTGGAATAGGTCTTGCAAAGGAACTCATTTTCACTGGCAGACAGGTTGATGGAGAACAGGCAGCCTCCATGGGGCTGGTAAATCACTCAGTGCCACAGAACAGCGAGGGAGATGCAGCTTACCAGAGAGCTTTAACTTTGGCTAAAGAAATCCTGCCCCAGGTAAGTGCATTGTTCATGGGACCATTGTAAAGACAGGACAATGTAAATGTGCTCCCCTTAAGAGAGAGCAAACACCTGAAATTCCTTTCTCCGAAATACTGAAGCCTTGGTTCCTGATCTTTAAGTCTCATTAAGTCTTTTTGTGAATGCAGCTTCTGTAAGAATAAGTGTTAATATCCAGCTGCTTAACCCATGGGACAGGTTTAGTCCCCAGCTGCAGCCATGCAGACCTGTAGGACACATTGAAACTCACACCGTGTTCATCTGTGAAATGCAGACAACACCAAATTGAATTTTATAGGATACTTATTAACTTACTGCAAATTTCTGTAGACTAAAATGTCATTTAGAGCAAAATAATATAACAATTCATCTTTTATGAATTAATGTGAATTTAATTATTTTAAAATATTTATTGTGGTTTGGTTTTGTTTTTAATCAAGGCACCATTTGCTGTGAAAATGGGAAAACTGGCAATAAACAAAGGAATGGAGGTAATAACTATTTTTGTTTAAATATTGAAATGAATTAAAATATTATCAGCTCTTACAAATTACTACAGTAAAAATGTTTATAACGGATGAGTTATAAAATTTTTATTTATATATATTTAAAACCATTTCAGAGGTTTTAAAAAATTTCTTTAAAGATAAAAGTAAAATGGCAGGATTTGTTTTTTTTTCTGCAGACAGTAATACTGTACTTCTAATATTGAATATCACTTACTATGAGTGAGAGTGACTGACTGCTCCCATTGATTTGAGAGCTGTGAAGTAGCTTTGAGGGCTGTACTTCAGACAAACCTCACACCTTTCCTCTCCTTCCCAGGTTGACATTGCATCAGGAATGGCTATTGAGGGGATGTGTTATGCCCAGGTAAACTGCCTTCAGAATTCATTCCTGAAAGGAACAACTGTATATTAGTTATAGAATGAGCTTGACAAATGGTTTTAGTTTAATAATTCAAAATTATTCCTCCTGTAGTTCTTCATGGCAAGTTTTGCGAGCATGCACCTTTCTCAGCTAATAGAACAATATAGGGTATTACAAGATTACCATATAATGTGTCTCTCAGCATGTTTTAAGATGAAGTATGAAGACTACAGGAAACTGTTTTCCTATATAGATCTGTGTTTTTTTTCTTAGGTGCTTTGTTTGTGAGTTACACTACAACCCTATCTCTTTTTTCCTAATTGCAAAACATGGAATTTTATGTATCATTGAAAGCAAAGCAATCTTAGTCTTATATCACTACTACTAAATTAGTCAGAACTTAAAAACACATCAGACTTGTAAATGGAAAACATACCTCTTTGTTTTATTTTTTTTCTCATGTAGAATATTCCCACCAGAGACCGTCAGGAAGGGATGGCTGCCTTCAGGGAGAAGCGACCACCTCAGTTCACTGGCAAATAATGCGTTCTGCTTCCCCTTGAGTTTTTGGAAATAGAGCAGGACTGAGGAGGGCCCACTGATTTCTTAGGACTATTTTCATCACACCATTCTGTGCACTTAACTCCTTGCCTTGGACTGCATTTCTAACTATTCCACTGGATCGTTTTTCTTTACAAATCTCCAAATAAAAATTTAACTTTGTACAACAGATCTTTAAAGCATGTTCATCTCAAGTCATTTATAAAGATGCATCAATGCTCTTCCAACTGCTTTGACAGAAAAAGCAGTAGTAGCACAGAGGAGTGGCCCTTGACCCCAGCTCTGCTGTGAATAGTGCAAGACTGACCCACTCCAGAACAAACACTCACCTCCAATGAGCTGAACCAGTGCTTGAGAAAACACAGGGCCTGTATGTGCACAGGTACATAGGGCCATCACATCAGTCTATGCCAGACACCTCTCTCCATCACCTGTTTCCCTCTATTAGCTGACTGGAAATTAAGGTTATTTTCTCCTTCAAGGTTCTCCAGCACTAAAATATGCCCTACAATTTAGCTCTACAGCTTCTTACATCCCTAGATTGGGCATTTCAAATAAAATTAATTAATCAGCAAACGTGGTTTTAGGAAATGCTGTATAGGAAATGCTTTATAGGTTACCAAAGTAAGATGTGGCTTACCACATTGGAACTTCATGCTACGATAGTATCAAAGGAAACCACAGTTTCACTTACGCCAAAAGTGTGTAGGAAACTTACCAAATTATACACATATAAATTTTCTATGTAAAGATCTGCAAAGGTAAAGCACAGTCAGGATTTTCAGCCTGCACAAAAGATTGCAAATTCTACAGGTGGAACAAAAAGTTTGGAAGTTGCTTCCAGAATTATTCTACTTTGCCAGAAACTCCTGAAGTTGTACAGGAGTGTGAAGAGACCTTTCTGTAAGTGGCATATACAAATAGATATAGTGCATTTATACCTTGTAGGCATGCAGAGTTTTCAACTAGAAAGAATTCTGCTCACTGATGGCCTGAAGTGTGGGGGAGAAAAAGGAAGTGGGCACTTAGCATCTCTGTGCTTGATGGTTGCAGAACTTCATGAAGTGATAGGTCTCTCAGACATCTGGCCTGATGCCAGCATTGTCCTTGCATTTTGTGCTGCATGGAGGAATAATTTTTTTTTTTTTTTTAAGTTAAGTTGCTTCAGCAAATTCTCCTGTTATTAGGAAAAGACAGCACTGTAAGGAGAGTTGTCATCTTTATTTTAAAATATTGTAGCAATTGATTTATATTCATTCTATTGACATCAATTTTGACAAGTTTTGTGTTCCATTTCATGTAATGGAAATTCAATGGCAGACATCTCAGAAGGGTGGTGTGTAAAAGACTGTAGGCTGTTTTTAATTTTGAAGCCACCTTCATAATTCAAAGCTACAGCCAGCTGAATTTCTGTTGGAATTGAGAAAACTTTATGCAACCAGATCCACAGATTAAAATGGTACCAGCCAAAATTATACTTTAGTACAAAAACCAATTACACAACACTGATTAAATTACTGATCAGTACCTTTTGAAGTTGCTGGAATACACATTAATTAGGTTATTGAAGATTAGAGGTGGTGTTTTTCTGTGAATGATAGGAGTTGGGAGGGAAAGGATTTAAAAACAGTAAAATACAGTAAAATATCAAGAAGCCATTTCTGCTGGTAAGCTACTAAACATAAGTTTTCTTTTTAAATCCAATCACCGAATATTTACAGAAGAGTTTCTGAATATCAAGCAGTTGCCATGGAAATATGGAGACTAAGCAGATAAAAACAACACCTGAAATTAAATTGAATTTGAATGGACATGCAGTTTGCTTCCATCACTTGCATTGTATCAGGCATCTGTACACTGTGCAATATTTTTTATTCAACACATGGTTTGAAACCCAAAGGTAACCAAGAAAGAAATAAGCTGTTACAATTAGCATCTTTATGTAAAATTTCATACTCCACAAAATGCAATTGACACAGGGCTTACACAGAACATTGGGTGATACTTTGCACTCACTGTCATGGCTTGGAAATATAATTCACTGCACAATACTGACAGAATATTTACAGTAAATGAGGGCAATCATTAGTCTCTTATAAATAAGGTGACCAAATATCCCAGCCTTCCATGAATACATGCAGCCCCCTCCATGATGAAGTCATGTCAGTTATTTTGCTCTAATGAGCCTTCTTCTATCCCCATCAGTATTCTAAAAAAAAAAAAAAAAGATGTCACACACAACCAAAAGTAGTTGCACAATAACAAAACCCCATTCCTGTTATAAAATTTAAATTCTCAGACATCCGTTTAGTACTGTCTCATTTTAGTTCCATTTCTACTGCTTTACTTCAGTGGGTTTCCCTTTTCCCTGAATGTGATGCTGGTCCCCACCTTGACAGGAGCAGGGAGGACTCTGGAGAAATGAACTGTAAAAAGGCATCATCCCAGCAGTAAAGAAAACAAAAGAACATGGCTTGCAGGCAAGAGGAAAAGGAAGCTGAAGACCCCATTTGTGTCTAGAAGAGTGAAGAGATAATGGACATTTTGGTCGCCTTAGTTACAAGTCTCTCTGTCACCTGCATGCATGGACTTTTGTTTTAGTCTATAAGTGTTGATCTCACAACCACACACAGTTTTATTCAAACACCAAACTGGTGAACAGTGTTATGAACAGCAACCACAAGGATGGAATAGCCTTTTCTCTCAGAAGTCACAAAACAAGATACTCCTTGAAGTCTTCTTTCCAGCTGTGCATATGGATCAGTACAAGTCCCATCTCCTGGTAGCCAGCACTAACCCTGCAGGCATGACCAGCTCAAGCTGTGACCCTTTACAAGTTGTGTACGAGGTTGCCATTAAAGGTGACGTTCAGCAAGGTTTGGGTACCACAGTTACCAGCAAATCACTTTAATGGTGACCAATATATTATAAATTACTCCAACTACACACATATCAGAGAGGATTATTACAGAGACAATATTTTACACTCCTCTACCTGCAGCTTTCAGTTTGGTTTGGTTTGTTGCTGTTTTCTACACGGTGGTGGTCTCCCATGGCGCATAATGTGTTTTTCTAAACTATCCAGGATGGCAACAGCAATCCTTTGGACATGGGGATCAGTGTGGACATTTTCCTTGATGTTGTACAAATGCTGCAAACCACCTTCTTCAATTAACATGCTGCAGTATCTGGCGGCTGTAATAGGATTATAAAAAGGGAATTAAAACCAGAATTATCTAGGGTAAAGGTAGGAGATACTGTAAACACTGATTCAAATCCACTTTTGTCTCCAGGCAGTATTTAAGACACTCCCTAAAGTGCCCACAGAAGTGCATGAGTACTTTAACTGACAACACAACAGAGTTATTTGGACAGGACTCCAGCTGTAATCAGGTCTCCTTACCAGTCTGTCTCAGCTGAAAGCTGGAAAGTGCCCTGCAATATGCACAGTATTCTCTCTTCCTCCCACCTCCTCTACAGGCATTTAAAGTGCACATAAACCAGAAGAAATGAGAATCAAAAGCACTAGTGTCTATGAGTATCCAGGCAATAATAGCCCCTTTCCCAAAAATCCTGATACAGAACAGTTACCCAAAAAATGGTATCAGATATACCACATCATTTGTGGAAGCCTCCAAACTTGGAGAGCAAATACAAATAGTTTGCCAAATATATCGATGGTGGCCTCTCATTAATTATAAGTTGCTACAAATGCCTTTCCAGGGTTTTTTCCACTTGCATTCTGGAATTCAATAAGTTGAAATCACACCCCCATCAGCTGCAGCATTATTAAGAGCAGGGAACAGCTATAAAAAGAGCTGTAGGGTGAATGTAATGTGCAAGCTCCAGAAGTTGTTATGGAAAGGTCAGGATGACTGTAATGCAATCCACAGGGCATTACCTCAGATGGGCCCAATTTCACCATTCATCTCAGTGATGCAACACCAGACTTGTTTTAGTGCTGATGTTGAGCATTTCGTTGGGGATCACATTTACTGTGGCATTACAAATATTTCAGTTAGGTTACCTCGCTGAGGTGACTATGACATAGACAAATGGCAGCAGAATAAAAAAATACACAAAAAAATTTAAACCAATTACTTTCAGACTACTTTACACTGTCATCTATAAGAAGAGGTCAAAATAAAAAGCAACTCCTCTCCAGGACTACTAAAAGCTTTCTTGGTAACAAGCACCAAAAGCTGATGATTTTCCTCCCAAATACATCTTCAAATTTCAGAATTAAACACTTTTTCCCCCACAGTAGGTTATTACATTTGCTACCAAACATTTGGTTTCTCTGCAACTTTGTCCAGAATTTTCTGGCATCAACTACCATGAGAATGAAACTAATTCTGTATTGGTCTCAAATTAGGAGTAGGCCAATGCAAACCTCAGTAGCCTGCCATGGTCATTGCTCTTAATTTAAAGGAAATTTGTTGCCCAGCATTAATATTTGCATATTATATTTGACTAAAAACACACGTGCAAGCAAAAAATGTAGTTAAATCTTAACAAATCCACATTTTGGAATTAACACAATGCATCTAACGGTAAAATTTCAGTTAATAGAAGAGATGTAAGGAACTTTTACTACACTCTTTTTCTGCCCCATTTAGTCAAGCTCCTAATGTAGTTTTTCCAGAGGATTAGGAGTGAATACCCCAGAAATTCTTATTTTTTCCCACTTCATGCTAGTGAATAAAATACTAAAAAAAAAAAAAGAATTTTAAGGGTAATATTCTCTCAGTACATACGATTTTTGCTGCAGACATGCTGCATGGCCCACACTGCCCATAACTGGACACCAGGTGTCATGAAACAGCCAAGTAGTGGAAAAAATGGATTGAAAGACCTATTAAAAAAAAAAAGAAACAGTTACTTGCTTTATTACTAGATACTATTGCTTCAGAGGTCCTGCGTCTGTTCATTCTGTCATGTGTTAACTACAGGAGACATTGACAAACATTAAGAGGCTCGTCTGCTGCATCTAAAACTCATTTAAGACAACTACCTGCAAATATCAGATACAGCAGATATGTGGTATGCTTTTTTTCCCCTAACTCTTGATCACAAGACAGGACAATAGTTACCTACCTGTAAGCCACCATCTCACATTCTGGGGTTGGCCAATTCAAAATGGCAGTATGCTGTAAAATACAGAACCAAGAACACTGATTGTTAAATACAAACATTGAAACAAAAATATAAAAGACTGTGATTAAATTCACCATCATTTCTGTACCAGCTGTTCAAGGAGAGATGTCCTCTGGCTGCGACTTAATGTCCAGGCCTGCTCTCCTCGAGATATCAGATGAGCAATTATCCCTGCTGCAAAGTAGCTGACTTCCACCTCCACACTGTGCAACAATTTACTGATGTGGTCTATGAAGTCCTTCCACATTAATTCAGAATGGAGCTCTTTAACTTCAGCTATGTTATTCTGGAATGGGAAATAAATAATTTTAAAAAAGAGAGAAAATGTCAAAATAAAGAAGATGGTGTGAGGAAGATAAACACAAACATGAACTATATTGTGTGAGTAGACACAGATAATCACTCAGATGAGATCTCTGTACATCCAGGTATACCAAAATACTGCTTTTGCTTTAGGAAATTTTTCCAGTCTAAGCAGGAATTTGCATCAAAACAAAGAGGTTTTCTTGTAAGTGATTTTATTCCATTAACATGTAGATTACATTAAACCAAAGGCTATTTTTAGCATTCTCAAGCCCAATTTCAAAAAAATTCAGCAGTGCAAAATTCTGCATTCTGATGACTTTCAACCTACTTTTTGCATTTGGACTCTTGTGAAGCCTTACTCTCCTTTCTGAAAAGCTCTTTTTATTTACTCTAACCATCAATTTCAATATAACTTTTGAAGAAACACAAAACAGTCCAAAAACATGTCAATTGTGAATAAAGCACACTATAAGGATTAAAGAGAATGTAAAAAATATTAGGATATGAAACACTAATTCTTCAGATTAACACAGGGTTAAAAAAATCCTTTCAAAATGAAATTTAAAAAGTATATTATTTCAAACTGTTTTTCTTTTTCATCTCACCAAAAGTCCAAGAACTTTCTGTTGGATGGATGATTCAGATGGAAAAGACTGTGGATAAAGGAAACAAAAAAAACCAAGTAAACATTTATGCTTATTATTGAAACAGCTTTAGTTATAAACCTGTGCTGATAATCCACCACCAAGCCCCCCTTCCTCACCTCTAAGACTCTCATGAAAAGTTCCAGCCCTTGGTTTTCAATAAAGTGCCGACACGTTGTTGGAGATTCATCTGTGAGGTTCCAAAGTGCACTCAATGTGAACTTGAGGGTGGTATCTACAAGATTTTGATTTGTTTTCTGCTTCACTATTTGTAGAAGTTGCTGAGGGAAAAAAAAACAAAACAGAAAAATATCAATCTATGGATTAACTCCTCTGCTTTTTTCTGTACTAAGTGGGCAATGCATAGCTGTCATTTATACACAAAGATATATGTGCTTAAAGTCAAACAGTACAAAATAAACTGGTTATTAAACTTTTTACCTCTGCTCTGAACATGGCCTGCTAAAGGAATTTCTTTGTTTCCACAGTAATTACATGTGTAGGGCTATTACAGATGGCAGAAAGCCATCCACGGAACTCTGAACCTTTACAGCAGTATTTACTTCAAATATTCTCATTTAGAGTATCTTTCCCCTTAAAGAATGAACTTCAAGATGTATCTTGGTATCTTATTTTGCATTAATTTTGTCAAGTTTTTCCACTTTGGCTTACCTTCTAAATAATTTTCACATGAATACATATTAATATGTTCTTAGAATTTTATCTCCTTATGTTTACTTTGTATCTACAGGAATACTGCTAGTATGAACAGCTGTAGAGGATGGGATGGCAGGAAAGCATCTGACTTACCCTAACAATGAAGAGTTCTGCACCAAGTTGAGCTGTTTGCTCTGTTGAAAGCTGTAAACAAACAAAAGCAAATCAGCATTATTTTAGACTTTATAAATGTTATCATATCATCTCAAAGCTTAATTCCATACCTTTGCAGCAAGAATGGAAATTATGGCTACAGCCATCCTTTGCATGTTTTGGTCTTCATGATTGCAGAGCCACTGCATAACAAGTTTGGCTGCTTCAAACCTGGAAGTTAAAAAAATAATAATTTTCAAAAGTCTCAAAAGTATTAGTAAAAGAAAGATGTAAACAGACACGAGAAGAATGGTTCATACTTCTGTAGAAAGAAAAGAAAGAAAAGTAGAAAGACACACTGAAATTGGATGTATTATATGAGTCTCTATCAGCTTTAAGATGTTGACTTAAGTTCTCTTACTTCTAATTATGTATCAGAATGCATAGGAATTGCTTCCAAAGAAGGAAGAAAAATTTGGCACAATTTTCTGAAACAGCAGATAATCACACTTAAAAGTATTCAAACAAAACATTTGAATAGAAAAATATCTGCAAAAAGCAACCTCAGAGAGGGGTTGAATTCTGTTACATGGACTTAAGGATAGACCCAGCCAGGTGAAGTTAAAAAACCCCTGTACAACAAAGGATTTTTCAGACCTACACTCAATGGTATATATTTGGGGCAACAGGCCTAAAACAATATAGGCCAGATAAATTCAGCACATTTTAATGATTTAAACTGAGCAAAACCGGAGCCAGAAACAAAGCTTCTGAAGAAAATTATTCTGCAATGCTACAACTTATTTCAACTGACATCTAAAACTTGCCTGTTAAATGGGACATCCTGAAGGATTCTGTCACTGCATAGTGAAAGAAGGCAATTCTTTTGCAGCTGTGAGAAATGAAAAACAATTGCTTCATTAGAAACACACGTATTTCAGGACACTTTCTTGCCATGAAGATATTTCCACGAGGTCCTGGGACGTGGAGAAACCTTTTGTTGAGACCCACAAGACAGAAAGCAGAGAAGTTTAGCCTTGTACCTGCTGATGATTTGGGAAGTGCTCCATGGCCTTGAGGAGCAGGTGAGTGACGTCTGCCAGGAGCCGCACGGGCATGCCGGCCGCCAGGTCCTGCTTGGTGAGGTTGAAGACGCAGGCGCTCGCCGCCAGCTGCACGGGCAGGTTCAGGGGGTGGTTCCTCATGCCGATCACCACCAGCTGCAGCACAAGGTTGGCCCACGTTAGCTGCTCACACATTTGCACACAGACCCCAAGAACAATCTGCCTCCTGCTCGAGGCCACAACAATGACTCACAGCACCCAATTTCTGCCTCCCTTGTACTTGAGTGAGAAATCCATCTGGTGTGATTTTAATTCTCAAGGAATAACATTTTCTTCTGCTCAGCAATTCAAAGCTGGCAACTTCTACTGCTCCAAGTCCTTTAGCACAGCGTGTAGCAACCTCTCAAAGAAGAGGCTGCACAGATTGCAAGAAATTCCTAGAAAGAGCCAGGCTGGGATAGAATCACCAAACCCTTTCAGAAGTGAATGAAGCAGGACAGAGTTTCTGCAGTGCAATGATAATTATGTAATGCCTTGTTGTTTGGTGATGAGCCATTTTGACTCATATCCTGAGCTGCTAGGTCAGGGCAGATTTTTTGCAGCTTCTCCCTGAATGATGTTTTTGGTTATGTATGTTGATTGTGACCTCACCAACTAAACAACTAATAATATTTTTCTTGTTGATACCTGACTGGAAAAGTCTTTTTGATACTGATGCCAAATTTAAGGCCACTTGTTCAACATCAAAGAGGATAAGAAAAATAAAACCCATGTGTCCTACTGGTGCCTGTTTTTAGGATCCCTACAAAACTTCAACCATCTCTGTTGTTCTAGACATAGAAAGCCAACGCCTAGAATGGATTTCTAAGGAAGTTTCTGGGGTCCAGGTTACAGCCCCATACAGAACACTAACAATATCCATTCACCCATTACCCTACTGGAGGGTAACAGTAGAGAAGCTGTCACTGAATTCTCTCCTTATTGTTACTGTTTTGTGAGCATCAGGAGAAGGCACTGCTGTGTCTGTGGGAGTAGACAGACCTTTGATTAGAACCCAAACAGATATGATCTAATGACAGAATTCATCATCTGAAGAATATTTCATATCATAATCAAAGGTATGTGAAAAAATTAATTTACATGCTGCTAAATTTAGATAATTTCCACTAGTAGAGAACAATTTTGCCTAACATAAAACACTACAGGGCATCTTCTACATCACTTGTGTTTAAATATTCTTTATTTTTATTTAACATTACAATTTTAATCTTAAAAAACACAACCAAAAAGGTAAAAGCTTATAAACTAATTTATACTAGGGTTTTGGGGATAAGCTCAGGAAGAACACACGAGAACCATCAAAACTATTATTTTACCTTCAAAATTTCAGGCTTAGTTTTTTCCATGACATGTGTCAGGCTGAATAAATGAAAGAGTGCTTCTCTCACAAAGAAGGCTCGTTCACTGTACCGCTTCAGTGCTTCAGAAATCTGAGTTTCATTTGCTTCTCCTGACACCTGTGAACACAGAAATAATCTTTAGTTCAAAATGTCAACATTTTACTTTCAAAGTTTTGTTCTCAAAAAATGCAAAGCTGCAGTTTCAAAGGCAGTGATTTGGCCAAGTCCTTCAGTAAGCAAATGATTGCCAGCCTGCTTTAGTTTCCATTTAATGATATTTTCTGTTTATAACTGTAAATTGTGTAACTGAAGGTGGTTTGTTCCTCCACTATTTAATGAATCATTGCTGCAATCACTGTTTTTTAAAATTCTTAGGGCAGCATGCAGAACTTGTTCTACTTAACATGGCACATACAAAAAAAGCAAAATGTTTATAAATGAAGTGTCACATTCTGTGCATCCTGTATTGTATACAGGCATATTTTTTTGAAACTTCTGATATCAGGAATACATTAGAGCCTTGAGAGAACTGATAGCATCTTGAATTTTGTTTTATATTCTCCGCTGATCAGAATAGACCAACCCTGTTTACTTACATGTTGCACAGCCAATTATACCCTGCATGAAAAATCTCCACTTGGTTTCATGTTCTCAACAATAATATCTGCCTAGTGTTCATAATTAAATTTCACAGGGCTGCTGTATAGACAGTAATATTTTACCTCTGCTGTTTCCATGAGTTCTGTGTCTTGTTTAATCTTTAGCAGTATCTAGACTAAGCAGTTGAATATTTCAATAGTTACTAATGAATTTAGGTCACCAAAAAAATAAAAAAAGAAATAAAACCAATCATAGCCTACAGTCTCTTCTTGACAATTATGCCTTTAAAAAAAAGGAATGCAAACTGCATTTTGCTAACCACAGTGCCACAAGTCCATTGTGACTTTCACATTACTAGAACCTTCTTCCTTCTTGCCTTTTCATGGCACAGACAGTTCTGTGAAGCAAGTATTCTGAACAGCAAGGATTACATTGCATTATTTTATATCAAACATGAGGTATAACCTCCTGGTGCTGGATAGAACCACACCAAAGGGGAATTTGCTTTCTCTATGCATTTCAACATTCAGACACTTCAGTATCAGCTGTGACAATTAAGTACTCAATAGACCTGGCCCTTAACAACTGTCAAATGTTTCAGGGGGAAAAAATACAAAATTGTGTAGCTGTGTTACTCCATTTGCCTAAAACAAGAGCATTCTGAATTTTAAAACCGAAGTGGAAAACTGGACTTGCACAGGACAGATTAAACTGTGGACACATTAGGCTCTCTTCCTCATTCCCTCTGCAGCTTCCATCATCCTCAAGACACAGCAGAAAGGAAAACTCAGTGTCAAAGATGATATACCACTGACATGTCTAAAACAACTTTTTTAAAATTAATTCTGACCTGCTCATTCTCCAATAACTGCCTTCAGATTTTACAGAACAGGAAATGATGTCTTGTTGCCTGGCTCTAAAAGATAAATAAATGCACTTCAGAAAACATCATCTCATCCTAAGGGGCTAAGTAACTGAGGATTTGTTCAAGAAGAGGAAGTCTTTCATCCTAAGTTATTGCTTCTCAGGTGATGTATTCATCACGAAAAGACCTTTAAAGATGGGTAGAAATATTGTAAGAGGAAATAGCAGTGGTGATGGAGCATAACAGCAGCTGAGTTATTCAGCTTTATTGTATCTGCCGTGTTAATCATGAACTGCACAAAGCTTATGCAAATTCTACCTCCACCCCTTACACATTGCTGACTTATGCCAGATACTGTCTGGAATCCAGAGAATATTATCCCACTAAGTGACTTCAGGCAAGACAAAGTTCAGCTCTCTTAGATATGGAAAATCAAGATCTAAGGTTCACTGAAAAGGCACAGAAAGCAGATGTCTCTTACAAGTATATGTATATACACAAAATATGTAAATTTAGCAGTCAAAATTAAGTAGGAATTTCACCTAAAGACAGTAATTATAATTAACAGTTTAAGAAAATGTACCTACACACACACATATTTACAAGCTATTAGCTCTATTTTCCCTGCACATTATATTTTTTCAGTGAAATTAATTGCCCCACTTAACCTTCAGGTTTCCTTCTCCTGTTAAGAACTCTGAGTAGCCGGCATCAGTAGCTAGCAGTCCTACAAACTGCATCGTGGGCCGCTGCAGAATGAACGCCTGTACAGCTTTATCTGTGACATGTTTTCTTCCAGAAATGTCCAAAGACACAAGGTTAGGTAAGATATCTTTCTGTTCCAGTAAACGAAGAGCTATGTCCGATGTGAACTGTTTGTCATCCGAAATATCGAGGTGATTCAGGTATTTTAGTTCTCTTATAACATCCAGAATCTGGGTTGTGGTCATTTTCAAGCATTTCAGGTGGTGCATGGTCAAAGACTTGAGCCTGTCTTTGCAGGTGAGGAGTGCTGTTATGTCAGTGACAGAGGTGTTGGATATATCCAGACTTTCCAGCCTGGGAAGTGAAGCAACATCCGCCAAGTCCTCGTTGTAGAAGAGCACGTTGGTGATGCTCAGCGCGCGGAGCCCGGACAGCTGACTGAAACACCTCTCGTAGGGGTCTTCCAGAGAAAGAGTCAGTGAGTTCAGCACCAGGCACTGCAGATTCTGCTGGATCCACTTATTGCTGCCCAGTCCACTGATAATGTCTGTGATTGTGATATCTGCATTCACCCCCGTGGCGTCCAGCTCCACCAGCTTGTGATGGCAGAAGGCTTTGCGGAAAGCCACGGCTGAGATTTTGGCTTTGCGGATACAGGCGCGCTTCAAGCGCATCTGGTTGCCTCGGAAGATGCCCACGGTCCCATCGTTCAGAAGCCCTGTGGGAAAACAGAATCAGTGCTTGGCTCCAGAGTTACACAGCATCACTTTGACATTAAAGGATACAAAGTGTTGGCAGAGAAAATTCATTATAAAGTAGTTTGACTTGGATCATTACACCACCAATCCCAAAATCTTACGTTTGTGATTCTACTTTGAAGATTATGAGGTCATGTTTGGAAAATTCCAGGTTTAAGAATAGGACAGATAAATAAGAAGCAGTAAATGCACATTACCTATTTGGTTCAGAAAATGGAACAGACAATAAATAAAATATGGGTATGATTCAAAAACAATCAGACTGCTGCCCTCATTTGCTGCATTTTTCTCACTGAACTGGTTAGAACTGTGCTAAAATCAGAATTTCAAACTTGAGTACAATTCTCCTTTGGCCACAGTTCCACTAACCTCAAGATTGCACTGCCTATCAGTGACCTATTCTCATGTTGCTTTAACTGCATAATCTAGCATTTGATTGAATTCATAAGTAGGATCAATACTAAATTAAGCTAATTAAGTTCTATATGAAGAAGGTAGGAGTGTTGCTCAGAAACAAGCTGAATGTGAGAAAAAAACCTAAGAAGTGATTCAAAGAATAGAAAGAGGAGGGCAAGGAAAGGGTGAGAAGGAGAAAAAGACAGCAATGAAAAAAGAAAAAGCAATCTTATTTAGTATTTTTTTACCTCATAGAAAGAATGTGTAAGTAGCCTTTTCTTACAAGACACTGGCAACATCCTAACTGAAACAATACATTGAGTTCCCTGAATTATCAAAAATGCATTGAATATACAACTATGAAATCTTGGTGTCTTATCAACAGAAGGATTATGAAAAGTCATGTGAAGCATACAGTTGCACAACCATCCACACAAAAGGAGTAGGAAGGACATGTCCTAGTTTTGCTCCTACAGGGTTATAAATGTCAACACTCCTAGCTTTTCATCTCCTAACTTCACACATACTTAATAAAGAAAATTATATATGTATAAAAATGCAATATATTTTTATAATAACATCATTTCCACTACAGTTTGGATTTCCACTACAGTTTGGATTTAAGTAATTGCCTCTATGACAAAGGCAAATATAAAAATTTGCAGACCTTTCTAAGGAACAAATGGTTCAGGTATTTCTGACCAAGTAGTAAGGGGACTACTTTGCTCTTTTGCAGGAAAAGCAAAAATATGGGATGAAACAACTGGTGTGGAGCAGAAAAAATAAAAACAGTAAATATAATTTATAGTTTGGTTAAAGTATCACTAAATTACTTCTTAATTTTGTTAATCACTTCATTTAAGGACCAAAGCTCTCTCCTCTCTCTCCTTGGCCTACCTTAGCAACACTGTGTTTATCTGCCACACACTTTTTTCCATCCTGCATTCTCTATGTTTGTGACATTTTGGTGTCTGGAAGTGCCTTCACCACTGGCAGCACTGGTAGTAAGTTTCTGGTAATTCAGTTTCCTTGAATCTGATTTCTTGAGACTACTCTAAATAAAATTCCTTTTTTTTTTTTTTTTTTTTTTTTTTTATTTTTTTAAAAAAAATTTTTTTTTTTTTTTTTTTTTTTTTTTAATGAGCTTGTCTATTTTAGGACCATTCTTTCTGTTACATCTGACCAGAACAACTTGAGAAAACCATTACCTGCCCAGTAAGACCCAAATAAAATCTGCACCTATAGGACAGAGTGTTTGGTCTGTAATTTTTCTAGTGTCATGTCTCATTTTTTAACAAAAGTCTCCAGCATCTCAAGGAATGGGTCTCTTATCTCTAGCACAATTTATACCTTTATTTTTCATGATAAGAAGTTTTATTATACAAATTTTATCATGCTTAAAGCAAGCAACCAAGATGTCAGCCCTAGCCTCAGAGAAATGCTGACAGAGAACCAGTAAGCCAGTACACAAAACGTAAAAATATCATAAGATTTTTATACCACTCTAAAACTAAGTGCTTTGAAACAAATAATTCCATGTCAATAAAAGTGTTAAATGAGATAAGAAATTGTCTTAATGAATCACAAGTTTATTCTCTAGCTAAATCACATGAGCACACAGTAAAAAAAAAAAAAATCAATTAAATGGTCTTCAAGAGGTATTGTTGCTAGAAGTAGTAGAATCTTTTTTTATTTCTGAAATGATTGAAAGAAGATTGAAGAATGTTCAAATAAAGGAACAGTAAAATCAAAAACATTAGTCTTAAGACTAAGAACTTTCTATTTAGATCTGTGTGGCAATGCAAAGCTCAGCTGAAGCTGTGTAAAGCAAAAATAACAAAAATTCTCTGTTAAGGGATTACAGAACACAGTTTTAACAGCTGCAACAGCAGATTCTAATAGAAAATATAGCAGAACTGCAATGTCACATTCCAGTAAAATAAGTTCACCACTGACCCACAAATGATTGTTTTTACCATGAAATGCCATCGTCTGCAGCAGTCGATCAGCCACTTCTTGAGGGAACATTCCTGGCTCCTGCAAGCAAAGTGTTCCATCTTGCCTTTCTGTGCAGAACTTCTCTAGGTTGGCAGTCAGGAAATTCAAACAGATATCAAGTAAAGAATATGGAGAAGCTTCCTCCTGTCACACGCAAAATACAATGAAATAAAGGAGATTTAGTCAAGGCATTCTTTCTACAAACCTTCCATTACTCTATAATGTCTTTTTTTGTTAGTCTGGCAAATATTATGAGAGGAGATGTCTCCCTCAGAGCCACATGAAGTCAGGTCACACAATGAACAACTGGCCAAACTGATGGGAGCCTCCTTCCCCAGCCACCCCCAGAACCACATCCAGTCACATCTGCTGTGCTTTGAACCCTACTTGGGTTCCCAGAGGAACAAAAGCAATTACTGAAAAATAATTTTAATTTATGAAGTCTACTGTGAATTAATAATTCAAGACAGGCTGAAAGAAGATTTAAAAATCAAATTATACTTCTGCATTTAAAATATTTATTTTAATCTTTCATTTAACTCAACGCATATTAGAAGTCTACTACCAACCTACACAAGAAATGCAGATACTGCAGATAAAATGCATATATAGGAGCAATTTTTGATACTGAAAAGGGCAGCCAGAGTTTCACATCAAAAAATGAAACCCAAAATGAACTCGTTTAATTCCAAATTTTGTACAGCAATAAACTAACATGTATTACAGTAATCCATTTCCTCTTTCCAGGCACTCTGCACCTGGAAATCATCTATGGCACAAGTCTAGGTAAAAAGGACAAGGCAGAATATAAACTTGACTTTTTGCCTCAGAGTTTGAGGTTGTACATTGATACATGAAAATCTCAAAGGGTTTTTTTAATCCCTGTCTAATAATAACCTACTGTTTTCAGCCACACAGATTAATCAACATAAAGAATGACTCTCAGCACTGTGAATCATTCCCAGCACCACACAAAAGAAGGCCAAGTGACTGGTACATACTCCCCCAGACAATATTGAAAATAACAGCATCAACTGTTGTCACATCTCATCTGTTAAGAAAAATAGTAGCTTCCCTTTTATACAGAAAGTTCTGGATCATTTAACGTTTCTCTCTCAGCTCATTTAACTTTTGTTGCTTCAATTGCCTAATATGGAGCACTGAAATATGTAAAAGGTTATACAGAAGAAATATAAATAAGGTTACAGAGATAAAGCTTCTAAAATAAGGTGCACATATTTGAGGACTGGGAGGTACCACATTGGGACAAAGATGGAATGGAGTCTATCTTTAGTGAATCATGTATTAACAACAATTAGAGACTACAGTTTAATAGCTCCTGAAGACTTAAGTACAGGCTTGGGAAATAAAATCTCCAAATTATTCAAATGCAAGCTCTTTCTGCAGCTTTTGATATGCAACTTTTATTCCTTTAACTCAGTTTTGCTAAGTGCTAAAGTTTCATCATTTTTTAAGCTTTGTTATTACAGTGTATCATTAGAAAAACAGGAGTTACTTTGTAATGCAATTTGCTCCCATACCAGGGAAGGGCAATTTTGGCTGCCTCCAACTGTAAGATGACAAGAAAACGAAGGACAGAATTTGGAATTGTAAATGTCTTTTGTTTCTTTGTAGTGTGCTATGATGCCTGACTATTTTAAAACAGTACATTTTTTATATGAGATGGGAAATTTTCCTTTTAAACTTGAAATCAATATATATACTCAGGACTACTATGACAACTGATAAATAAAAAAAATACAACACAATCTTTACTTAAAGGTGTATGAAAATCATTCCCACTGAAGCAAAGACATCCACATCTCCATTAGATCTTGTGTTTCTAATTTGATGTTTAAAGATGACAAAACCAGAATACTGTCTCTCTTCATTCCTCCTGGAACTGTTCCTTCCTGTCTGCCAGAAGAGCTGAAACACTTTGATGTACCAGTGAACAAACTCCAATGAGAATATTTAGCCCTGTAGATAGGCCACTGGCATATGACTCAGAAAACTATTTTTTCAGCCAGTATCTCTAAGTGGCCAATGTGTCCTTTGGAAATGCAAGTTTAATTTTTATATAATCCCTCTGGAAGTTCACACAGGACATCTCCACTCAATCAAGGAACAAAAACCACAAGCAGGGATCAATTATACTTGCAAACAACACAGTTCTGTTTTTATAAACTTCACTCATTCCCATTATAGGAGCCATTTGTAATATTTCTTCAACTTGCTGCCAAAAGGCTGAGAAAATACCCCTGACAAAGGCTCCTGAGGTAACCTGGGCAGACAGGCAAAATGTTTTTTTCTGTATCTAATAAAGTCCTCTGAGAAGCATCCTAAAAACAATTTCCTAGACTGCCTGCTACTGAAATAGAACAACTCAAATGTAGTCTGGAAGCCTTTCATATGAGCTGGAGACATTCCTTTTCTCACTCCCCTATACTTCAAGACAATATTGCCCAGTTAAAGTTGTATTTAAGCTCTTACAAGGTCAGAATTTAAGTGGTTCCTTTCTCTAGCTCTGCTTTTGAATGTCAGGTTGAAGACAAACCTGCCACTTGTTTTCTAATCACTTCACTTTCTGCCTAATGAGACATTATAAATGTATGTCAACCATATAAGAGCACTTAAATTTTTTGGTTATTATTTAATAAACATCACCCAGCAGTTTTTGAGTAGAACTTCTCTTATGCTGTTTTACTTTTTCATAGTCATCTCAATTATCTGATACTTCAATTAACCTCACAGTTTCTTTCATTATATCAAATTAATTGAGTAGGAAACAAATATAAAAATTATTTCCCCAAACCACAGAATTATGAATTACATGATGCAAGCTGGGGTCTTCATTAACTAAAACATATATTATGATAGTAATGTGACACATCTAAAGCCTGGCTAGCTTATGGAATAGCACAAAAAGTAGAATAATTGCATTTAGATGGGCTTTAAAAGGCTTTTTTTTTTTTTTTTAAAAAAAAACAACTTTGTAAGTATTCAATATAATCAAGGCAAACCAAAAGTGTGCAGGGGGATGGGTTAAACTGCCTGGCTGCTGGCCTCTAACAGTAATCCAATACAGTGGTGAACTGAAATGCAAAACCAGATTCAACTTGATGTTACCAGCTCAGCTTCAAGCTCACGCCAGTTGGAAAGGTTCTCCCAAAGAACATTATCCTCCACATTTTCTTTTGAGAATTCCATTAATCAGCTTCAAATACCACGAGAATATACTCAACACATATTTCGAAGTGTAGTTAAAAAACAAAAAGAACTTAAGGGGACACATTAAAGCTCCAGGAATAAGTTAAAGACTCTTAAGGCAAACATTATAAACCCAGATTAACTGGCTGAGTGTATCAAAATAAAATCCCGTTTCTTTGGGGAAGCATCACCAGGCAAGTACCTCCTTATATAACAGTACCTAAACAAAAATAAATTAAACAGGTATAACTGTTGTTTTCTGTCAGTCATTACAATCAAGCTTTGCAAAAAAAAAATTTTAGAAAAAAATTCCACTGCTGTGTGGACCTTTCTCATACAGTGGTTGTGATCCTACCAACTCCAGCCTGACAGATTCAGTTCTTATAGGCTCCATCTCTCAGACTCATTAAAAATCAAACTTTTTTTTCCCATCAGTAGTGTTTTGGTTTGGCTGGTTCTAGTTCCCCCCTCAATAAACCAGTATTTAACACCGGAAGACAAATACCAATTTAATTTCTAACAGAGCCATGTCTGTGATGTGCTCCCCAAGTTTTACACCCAATTGCAGACTCAGGATGACAAACCCCAAATATGCAAAGCCTCTGTAAGCCAGGCCCACATGCTTTTCCCACTCTGAAGTCTCAAAGGATGAGATGGGTACAGGGTTAGGTTCCAATTTGTGGTGATCATTTCTCTCAAAACATTACCAGGAAAACAAGAAAGCAGTAATTTAGAGCCTTGCTCTTTGGTGTTGGATGTACCATGTTTTCCAGCTATGTTCCACCTCTCCACAGCTCCATAACTTTACTTACTTTCTTAAAATGAATATTCTTAAAACAATTAAGAAATAGCAACTCAATCAACAGCCACCAAAATTCTTCTGAGTGCTAAAAGATGAAAGGCATTGAAAAATAAACAGCTTCATGATTTATGCTACTAAGAAAGCTTTATGATTATCCTATTTAAATTAAGTTAAATGGAATTAAACAGAAGTAGGTGATTTATTAGCCAGATTCAAGGAAGGATTATGCTCAAAACTTCAGTTTAACATTAATTATTCTGGCACAAGAAGTGGGAACATAGAGATTAAAGCTGCTACTGATACAAAATTAGCAGTGATCACAAGAGGCCTAAAATTAAATAGTGCCCCATTAGAATGACATAGTAATGCCACTTATTTTACGATTAATATCAAGAACTTCAGATACAAGTTCATCAATTAGAAATGATAGAGTGTGGAACCGTAGTGTGCTGAACCACAAAAGAACAAGGTGAAGCAGCCAACGAAGGTGCCAGGAGAAGCATAAAAAAAAGGGAAGGATTAAGTCACTATCAAAAACTCAGGAGATCTCACAGGGCTATTTATGTCAAGGGATACCTGCATCATTTCATTTTAAAGGTAACTCTTAAAGCTACTAGAATCCCCTGGAGAGGAAAAGCACATTGGGAATAGGACATAAACCCAGCTTTTCTTAGCCTAGAAGATCAAAAGGTGAGAGATACAAATGCCACCTATAAATAAATACAGCACAATGAATATAAACTATAGACAGAAAGAAGCCATTAAAGAGAAGCACACTGCAAGCACAGCAACAAAGGTATGTAGAAATGCCATGAACTGGAAGTTTTGCCATAAATTTAGACATCAGCACATAGTTAAACATTCTACCCTAGTTCACTGATTAAAAGAGCAAGCACAAAATGTACCTACTTCAATAACAATGACACATAACTTTATTAGGGAATTGACTGAAATTAGGCTTTTAATGACAAGGGATGAGACTAGATTGCCCAGGAAGCTTCTGCTAGTCCTTGAAAAGCAAATATGCACACTCATGTCTGGAGCAGAGGAGCAATCCCAACAGCTCCCATATGCTGTGCTCCGGCCTGTCTGGAGAAGGGAAAGGCTGCTCCTTTGGCAGCTCCGTGCTGGAAGAGCTCGGCGCGGCCCACGCACCGTGTCCTGCAGCCAGAGCCCGGACAAAGCAATTCCCGGTGGGCAGGCGCTGCTGGGGCTGGCAGGAGCCGGAGGCTGTGCCGCGCCGGGCTGCGCCCTCCGGCCGCCGGCCGCGGGGCTCTGCCCCGCTCCGCCCCGGCCGCGCGGAGCTGTGAGGGGCGGTCCGGGCGGCGAGCCCGGCCCGGCCGTCATCGCCCTCCCGGCGCCCCGGGGACACGCCGAGCCGGGACTGAGCCTCCGTCCCTGCCGTGCGCCGGGTCCTGAGCGCCTTTTACATAACAGGCGGCAGCGGTTACACAACGGGCGGCGGGGCTGGCCGGCCCGGCCGCGGTGCCGGCGGGAGGGAGGGCAGGGGGCTCCGCCTGAGCCCCTCAGCCCGGCTTGGCCGCCGCCATGGCGGCCCCTTCCCCGGGGTCACCTCCGCTACCTGCGCCGGGTCCGGCACCCGGGGCTGCAGGCGAGCAGCTCCCTTCCCTTCCCTTTCCCTTCCCTTCCCTTCTCCCTCCCTCCCTGCCCGCCACCGCCTCACCATCGCGGCGCTGGGTGCCGCCGGCGAGCGCCCCGCCAGCCGGTCCCGTCGCTGGGCTCCTTCTCTATTCGCTTTTTTCCTTTCCCTCCCTTCCCCCGTGTTTACCACCCCCGACCTGGAAGTGAATGTTGCAACCGGCCGGGAACCCGCCTCCCTTAAAGGGGCTGCGCCAGCACAGGTCCGTGCCGGGGCGGGGGAGCGGAGCCTCAACACTCGCTTTTAAGGCTCGAAGCGTGGGGCGAAGGCGCCACTGCGCTGCAAAGAGCATCAGCCCCGCTTGGTACGAGCGTGTGGGACCTTTCTTCGGCCCGGTTGTTCCGGTAGTGCAGCTGGGACCGAGAACTCTGAGGCGCCGGTGAGCAGCAGCTCTGGGCACCTCCCACCGCCGTGGACGGGCGTCAGCTTCGCACCTCGTGCTCTCAAGCCTCTGTAATTTAAGTGTTTCCTGCACAAACTGGTTTGTTCTGGTAATATGAATAATAACCTGCACCACTACAATGAGTTCTGCCTCCTGCTTTGGAGGGGAGCTTTGCTATAAGCATAAACCATTCCATACAAAGTAACTCCAGTTTTCAGAAAACAGTACTAGTGAAGAAAACTTGTCTCCCAACCAATACATACAATGTACTGTTGGTCAAGAGAATACAGTTATTTCTCGTTTCAAGGTACAGCGTAAAGAGTGATACAATTACCCTATCCAAATAAAATGAGTTAGAATATAGAATTTATGTAAAATAATTGCTGATTCTATATGCAGAAACTTTGGATAATGGTTGTTTGCAAACTAGCAAGACACATAAATATTAAAGAACAGTTGCTAAAATTACTTATGTTTCTGTCTTTACAAGATGGCAAAAGATTATATTATATAAAACACAGTTTTACCAGTTTAAAGGCTGCATAACAAAGAGTTCCAATTCTTTAGATTAGGCTGCTGATGTAGAGAAAATAAATTACATGCTCAGGATCTGACAAACACAGAATTAAGAATCTTCATGTTCTGAATTTAACCACTTAAAAACCTAATCTGCTTAGAAGAAACAACTTACATAATTATGGACACAGATATTAGCTTAGATAAAGAAGCAGCTCATACTATTATTCTTAGTCCATTACGTGTTTCTTCCACTTGATAATGTCTTTGCAAGATTCCAGACTATTCTTTCAATGGCTTTTAAATTCACTGATTCACTCTGACCTATCACCAGATGTCTTGTTTTCTGAATTTGTGATAGGAACTGGGCTCAGGCAGTGAACTTTCAGTGACAGCCTGACCCCCTGCTCCCAGTGCCTGTTCTTAGCCTGCCTCCCAGTACTCAGGAATCCACTCCTGGTATGGAGCATATGGTTGAGTTGGCACAGGCTCAACATTGGCATCAGAAACTGAAAAGACAAAATCCCAGCAAGAGCAGACTCTCCAAGGACTTAAACTAATAAACTCAAGGAATTTCTACTCAGCCTACAGTGCAAACTGAAATGTTTTCAAAGCTGGATTTCCAAAGAAACAGTATTGTGGTACAAAAGCAGTTCATCTTCTAAAGGCCCCATCCAGAATGGAGATTCACACAAATATTTTCAGATTGCAGCCAGCACTGGCCAAGCAATGTGTATCTTCTACCTGCAGTCTCACACATGTGGCAGTGGGTTTTGGTCAATACATATTGAAAACAAGACTTTAGCTGTACATGGAAAATGTGTTTTAACTACAAACCAAAATTTTAACAGTCAGAAGTTTTAAGGAAATGCTTTTGAAGGTGTAACTGGAGTTTCAGCTATGCACCTGGCAGGGTTTGCTGCCAGTCCAGCTGTCACAGTTGGTGACAGTTAGCTCTAGCCCTTAATAAAGAATAAGGCTTCTTCCTATGGGAGACTCTGCACAGGATTTAACTGAGTTTTATTTATCCCAAAAACTTGTCAGGCCAGTGTTTTCCTACTAAAATAATTTAGGACAAAGCATTTGCAAATATTGTGAATATTCTTTGAAATTTAACTCTGATTTTAAGCAATTTATCACACATAATTCTAATGTGCTACTTTACTCACAGAAAATTCAGTTTTTGCTCAGAACTGCTGGAATTCGATAGTGTGCCATGTTCTCTGTAAGTATTCTGTTGCCACATTTGGGTTAAATTAATCCATAATGTTGTGGGTGCCCAAGGCCAGGTTTGATGGGGCTTTGAGCAACCTGGGATAGTGGAGGGGGCTGGCAGGGGGATGGAACAAGATGATATTTAAGGTCCCTTCCGACCCAAACCATTCTGTGACTCTCAGATCCAGGAGAACCAGGGTTCATTGTGTGTTAAGTGCTTACCCGTTTCTGGGTGTTCCCAGTGCCCCGGCACTGTCTGCTGAGTGCAGGTTCCAGTACTTTAAAAAGCACCTGTGAGAGCTTTTGTGGTACCACAGAAAGGAGTGGTGGCTGGGAGCAGTCTCTCACAGCAGCACCTCTGTTCTAAAGCGGATTTGGAAATTACCGAGCTTTAATCCAGCGAAAAGTGTGCAGGAGGCAGATCGAGGAATAGGGAAAGCCACCCTGCTCCTAGGCCATGCATAGTGCAATTAATGTACTGCCATGTCTCAGTTTATGGCTTGTGCTGAATCAGACTTCGGGAATACGCACCCGGTGCTGCCAAACTGAAAGTAAAATCCTAACTGTGTGTTATCGCTTAAAACTGCTGAACGGTCAGAGTTCCCGGTGACCCCGGGAGCGCACAGCAGGAACCGTAACGAGAGGAGCCGTAAGAGAAGGTGCGCGAAGAGAGGATGGGGAAGAGACGGGGGAGTGGCCGGAGGAGCGGCCACGGGAGGGGCGGCCGGGGCCGGGTGCGGGCCCGGTCCGGGTCCGGAGCGGGCGGGGCCGGGGCCGGGCCCGGAGCGGGCGGGCGGAGCGGGCGGGGAAGGCGCGGTCCCGGGAGGGCGGTGCCGAATCGAACGCTCGGCGCTCGCGGGAAGCGCCGCAGGATCGCGCCGTGACCCAGCGCGGCCATGGCCGGCTTCATCAACTTCGCGGACGAGGAGGAGGTGCGGGCGTACCTGGAGAACCTGCACGTGGAGTACAGCTACCAGTGCTTCAAGGAGAAGGACCCGGACGGTACGGCCGCCGCCCCCCGCCCGCCGCCGCGGGGCCGGCGGGAGGCTCAGCCCGTGTCCCGTTCCTTGCAGGCTGCCAGCGCTTCGCCGATTACCTGGACGCCGTGAGGAAGGACTTCGTGGCGGCGGCGCGGGTGCTGCGCGACAACTGCGAGGTGCACGGGCACAGCGAGAGCTGCTACAAACTGGGGGCCTACCAGGCCCTCGGCAAAGGTGGGCATGGGGTTCTGGCGCTCCTGCACCTCCCCGGGCAGCCCGTTCTGATACCTGGCCACCCTCACATCTGCCTTGTCCTCCTGACCTTGAAGGAGCAACTACCTGTCCCGCTCCTTTCATGGTCACCTCATAAAAGCTGGGGGAGGATGGAAAACCTAAAATTGCTTCCTTCTGAAACATCAGCTGTATGTTAACTATGTATTAGCTTTTTATAATTACAACTGTTTAACAGGTAAGTACAGCCAGTGCTCAGTGTTGCTGCATATTCAGTTCACAACATTTCTTCCTGTCAGACAGAAGAAAGAAAGAAAGAAAGAAATAAACTCAGATACTGGTAATATGCATACCTAAGTAGTCTCCGAGTCTAGTCAAAATGTATTTGCTAGCACAGTAACAGAAAGCACTTAAATTAGTTAGAGATCTTCCAAAAGACAGTACTAGTAAAGAACAATATTTTTATTGTAGTTCAAACCTAGTTACAGTTATGGTGTAGGTATACTGGCAAAATAATACTTGCCTAGTGTAAGATATTAAATCCATGGATGTAGTAGTGGAATGAGTGTTTTGTGGATCTGGGTTATTTTTTGGATACTGGTGCTATTGTGATTACTGGTGAGTGGAGGACAGTTTTCTAAGTCAAAGACATTGGCAGAATGTTTATCACTGGGACAACAGTAATGTCTCTGAAGTCCTAAATATTGACCATAATATCTAAAGTGATGGATGCTGTATTTCCAGTGGGAAGCATCCTGCAAAGCAAGAAGCTCCCAGCTGTTTTAACATATCCTCACAGTACTGTCTTGACTAACAGGTGGACTCAACCCGGATTTGAAAGCTGCCTACAAATCTTTCATCAAGTCATGTGAGAAAGGTGGGAAGAAGTCAGCAAATGCATGTCACAGTGCTGGGCTGCTGGCCCAGGACGGGAAAGCCAACAATGATCAGCCTGACCCTGTGGTTGCTAGAGACTATTACACAAAAGCCTGTGATGGCAATTTTGCTCCCAGCTGCTTCAACCTGAGTGTGATATACCTGCAGGGAGCACCTGGGGTCCCCAAGGACATGAGCCATGCCTTGAAGTACTCGCTGAAAGGCTGTGAGCTGGGGCACGTGTGGGCTTGTGCCAATGCCAGCCGCATGTACAAACTGGGAGATGGTGTTGAGAAGAATGATGCTAAGGCAGAGGATCTGAAAAACAGGGCAAAACAGTTGCATAATGAACAGAAAGAAGCTGCAAGTTCTCTAACATTTGGGGAGTAAAAGTTGCAGAGTTGGGGAGTTGGCAGTTGCAGATATTAAGACTGGTTTTTAAATGGCAAGTGAACTTAATATTTAAATTGTGAGCGTACAGTTTTCATTTAAATAAATATCCTGTATTTGGATATGCAAATAAAATTATATTTTTGTGGATACAATAAATGTCTGTCTCTGCTGTGCCCTTCTATGTTTTTGAACACACAAGTTGTTAAGTGTATTTTGCTTGCACCCTTCCTTTCTTTTTAAGGAAGCCAAAATATTCCCCCAAGGTTTCAAGCACAAAGGATTTCTTTTGTGTCCAACGCTTCAGTATCTAGGCTTGTGCTCTGACCAATTCTAAAATACACAAAAATCACAACTGCAGGTAATCCCAGCTTGGGCAGTCTGAACTGTTCCATTTCCCACAAGCATTTTTAGAACTTTGATGGCTGCACACTTGAGCGAGCTGCTCTAAATCATGGATGTTCATCTGTAATTCCATAGGTCTAGGCCAATTCCTAGCTCCCTTAATTCCTCCAGTTGCCAATTGGTTTGTGGCTGTCTACCTGTCATATGTGCCTGAGTGCTTCAGGCTGCTCTCCCAGCACATGATTACCTCTTGCTTGATCAGACACAAATTGTTTTACCTTCCTCCTAGCTTCTGGAACATTATGTTCTATTTTTTCTAGTTCAGATTTAGGGAACAAGGTGCTAACTTATCAAATCTTGGGCTCAAGTCCATAACCTATATATATACAAACTGTAGCTAAACATACAGATTCTGAGACAGCTGTTTAAACAAGCAGGGCAGTGTTTATAAATGTATTCCTGCACTGACAGGATCCTTTGTAATTTTGGTGTGTGTAAAAATTAAGTTTGTGGTGTGTATGTTTTGCTGTAAATTTACTACTCAGAACCTGAATCCTCTGGCTCTGGACTAAATAAAGATACAAATTTCACTATTGCAATAAGTGAAGTGGGATTAAAAGCAACTTCACTTTGGCTGTGGCCGCAAGTGAAAGCAGAGTTGTTGGAATCTCGCTGCATGCATGAATTAAAGCAGTTATTCCAATTTAACAGAGTTCTTGGGAAGGACATTTGCTGCTCGAACAGAAACCCGAGCTGCACAGCATAGCAGTGACACAGGCACCCTGTAACAACAGATGGCAGTGTCTGAAAACTGCACACTGGTGTGGCTCTGGTGCAGCCTGGAAAAAAGCAAATAGCAGTGGCAAAATCAGAGTAATTTTTCTGTTAACAGTTATTTTTTACAGTTCAAAAAGGCAAAGTTCTTAGAGGAACACTCTTTGCCTGATTTTTTTTGCAAGGTACTATTCTGGGCATTTGTTTCACTTGGGAAAGGTAAGTAAATGCTACCTCTGTGGAGCGTAACACTAGTAATAAAACAGTTTGGAATCCGTGTGTTCTGGAGTAGGCAGTTACAGGTGGGTCAAGGCATTGGAGAATTGGGTGGTATTTTAAGCCCCTGTAATGCTCACTGCCACAGAGTACCTTGTTCAGATCCTCAGCTCAAGCACTAGAGCAGTTTTCTTCCAGCAGGACTAATGACTGTCAGTGATCCTCCCAGGAACTTCCAATCAACACAGCAAACAAGCACCAGAGAACATCCTCAGTAGAGCGACACTGTGGATAATTAAAGCCACATACAAAGTGCATGTTGTGGGGATGTTTTTTCATAGCACTCAAAAACTCACAGACTTGCAGAGCTTAAATACTATAAAGCAAACCATTTTCATAAAAGCTGTTAAGTGTGTAAGATAAATTTATGAAGTCTCATCCAATTTTGCACCACTGGTTGAAGAGACAAAGCCAAATTAAGGAAGACTCATGTTTTCAGGCTGTCTCTGAACAGCTTGCTGCCTGCACTGGGCACATCTGTATCTTTTTTACACAAATATTGATGACAGATTCATTTAGACAGCTAAGGCCCTTGCCTATATGACTCTTTTCCTTCCAAAGTGACAAAACATCCAAAAAAAGGTCAGCCAGTCTCATTTCAGTGTATTACAAATTATATGTGTTTAATGCAGTCCGTAGCAGAGTATTCTCAACCTCAAGATTCTCTTCAGTAGACATAATCAAAATCCTTAGAGGCGAAAATTTTCCTGCAAATCTTGGCTTATAATCATCTTGCTCTCGTATTATGGATTTATTACCAAAATATCCAAATTACCAAAATATCTTCCTGCTCTTTCGTTTTACCTGATGTTACAAAGGCTAAATTTTATACTTTCTGGTGGAAAACTTTCTTCAAAGCCTCTGAGGTCATAAAGAAAGCATGATAGATATGTGATCATAGCAGAATACTTAGAAATATGGGAGAACTTGTTGATCTCTCCAGGATCAGTGGGTTTTCTAAGAAATAAAGGAGTTGATATCAGCTTCACAGTACTTAAACCAGTCTGCTTTCCCTTTCATTTGTTTGCATTGATCTAAGCATACAACCATTAATAAAGCAGCAATACACTTCAGAAGCAACCTAATTAATTAAATAGACATCTGAATACATGGCTGTAAATGATGAAAGCATTCTCTGCAGGATGCTTCCTGCACCTGTGAAAAGATCACCAGTGGAGGGCTGGTTTTGAACTGAGATTAAACACTGGCACCACATCATGTGTCATTAAGTGTCATTTGGATTAATCCTGGACAAAAGACACTGTCTGGTAAAGGAGCCACATGATTTTGTAGAAAAAGAGAATAATTCTAGTGGTTCTGTTTATGTGCTATATTGTAATAAAAGCAGTTTTGCAGCTCGCTGACCTTTTGTTCAGCCATCGGTAACAACTCCTCTCTGCAATGTATGTGTGAAGGGAGTTCTTGTGGCTGTACACATCCACCCAGAGGGATGGTCTGGGAGATCTGTGTCATCATCACACCCAGAAACAAAAATAGTAGTGCTCCTTGTTACGGGACAAATTTTTTGTTCAGTGTAGAAAGAAATTCACTCTGTTGGCAATTTTTCACTTCATCATGTGAGACAGAAGAACTCTCAAGTAGCTCTTCTTCTCCTTTGGTAGATGGAGGAGGAAGAATTCCTCCTTCTCTTATGCTTCCCAGCATCTCCTCCACTAAATCTCAGAGCAACACAGTTCTGGTCAGGGTTGGTATTTTTGTGGGGGGGTGAAGCAAGAAGAGAGAGGAAGGAAACGGAGTCGTGGTACAGCAAGAAACACATCAGAAAATAAGCAATAAACCCAGCTGTATCATTATTGCAGTAATCTGTGCTGGGGCAACACCCAGGGGTTCAATTCAGATCATGAAATTATGCCATTTGTGTGCACCCATAATGACACCCCTGATCCAGAGATCCACGGTCCAAGATTCGGGATTGTTCAAAGTCCCTAGCACATATTTCAGTACTAAACACTGGTACCCTGCTCTATTTTTCCAGACATTATATCAACAATATGGCCCAGAATCCACAAAAAGACAGATTTCCCCAAGAATCTTTAGACGATAAGGATCAATTCTGCACCAAATTTTTGATGTCTGATTTCATCTGTCAGATCTGTAGCGTCCCAGTGCTTTCATTTTTCTGTATCCATACTTGAAGCAAGCACAATAACAGTAATTACACTAATTTTAGACTATATCACATATTTCTTAATTGTTGTTATTGCCTTCTACTCTTAATATTAGTTACAAATTACTGTTGCAATATTTGTTCCAAATGTGTTTTATACTTCTTACAGACACACTTATTTTTTTGAAGTCTTGTTTGTAATACCATAATACAGTTTTTTTAAAAAATTTAAATATTATTGTAATCCTTTTATTCTAACCAACTAGTCAGATATTTGTGTGCTATGGAATTGTAAAATTTAGGCCCCTTTGGAGTGGTGATTTCAGATGGAGATTTGTTTGTAATACCATAATACAGGTTTTTTTTAAATTCAAATATTTTTGTAATCTTTTTATTCTAATCAACTAGTCAGATATTTGTGTGCTATGGAATTGTAAAATTTAGGCCACTTTGGAGTGGTGATTTCAGATGGAGATTTGTGAACAGCATAATTGTAATGCATTCATGTGCTCAAATTCACGAGTGTGGTGGGAGTTCTCTGTAAGTTCTCATTCTGTCTGTGCAAAACTGAAGAACAGTGCTTTAAACATACCCTGAAGAGTTTTTCTTAGCAACTGATAAAAAAGAAGAAAGAAAGAAGATGAAAACCCCACATGTTTATACAGCAATTGTCACCCACAGGATTCTAGTGCACTTCACCATGTCCTTTCCAGCTCATAGAGTCGTTCCATACAGTCCTGGGGCAATAAAGATACCAAAAAAAATGTTGTTTGGCTGTGATGTAATTTCATATCTTGAAGATGAAGCTAACCTGAATTTATGTTAGACATAACATGTCCTTATTTTGACAGTTCTCTTTTGACACATAACAACCTGGTGTGCACTTTAATTTTCACCAAAAACATTGAAAAGAAGTGGGCTGGTTTCCTTCCAGCTCTCCTGCCACTGGAAGCACACCATGTTCCCGTGGAGCTTCCCGCCCAGGAAATTCTTGTTGCTTTGCAACAACCTTTCCTGCAAACTCCTGAGAAGGAAACCTGGATTATGTCTTTAGTTCAGGATAGGATAAGCCACTGAACAGTTACTGACTCATTGCAAGACACACGATGTCAGTAGGGGCCCAAACTGATTATTCTCCAAATGATATTTAGTAAGGCAAGGGCTTATCAATTCATTACAAGCCAAGAAACACTAAGATGGGAAACTGGCCTTTGAATGCTATTCTGATAATATTTATGGAGTATTATTGCAGACACATGTGATAGCCACATCAGCACAAGTGTTATCAATAACAGCTGAAGACAAAATAAGAAGCTGTGACATTTTCAACACTGCAATCAGCCTATCAGAGCAGTTATTTTCTGTGTGTTTTAAGTGAAATGTTTTCTCCACAGCATTGTTTTACTTCTTTGTTCTGCAGCTGACACAAAGGCAATATAAAATATCTTACTTGTCAGGGAGACTGAGATAGAGTGACATTAACTGTCACAGGAACCCAAACTTACCTCAGGCTGGCAGCTCACACACTGTGATATTCGTGAACAGACACAGAGAGATTATGTATAATTTGAGGTAAAAACTTTAGATATTTTTGAAATTCTGAACTTACTCTAAATTCTTTTCTGCTGGGCTTTGTGAGTTTTATATGTTCCTCAGAACTC